CCCCCCCCGTTTCCACGTGCTTCCCCATCCCCAGTGAAAATGAGACTTTTCGATATTTGAAAGGCAAGGATGATACGTTATTCCTCACGAAAGACAGAGTTTCTGCACCGCAAAGTAACGACAGAGAGTGATTATTTGTCGACAATCAATAGTATTAATAGATCTGCCTTAATCTGGGTACGCTGAGAATCTAGTGTATACTCACATCGTATCCCTAACGCTTGAAACAAATATCATAAGACAGCCCATCATCCGCCCCGCCACCCCCCCTCCTCAAATGGCATGACGACTCCAGGCTAAGTGTAAAACCTGATAGCACATAACGTTAATCCTTAATATAAATATGTTCTTGGCATTGGGCAGGCATATCTCTATAACAAACACTACGGAGACCGTTTAAATATGATTATACTTGAGGAAGTGCAGTCGGACGCATGCATGTAATGAGACTTCAAAACACCGTCCAACACTCAGGAAGAATAGCGCTCAGAATCACTTTGTTTGGAACTATGAAAATACAAGATGAAAAGACAGATGGACGCAGTTGCAAGGAAGTAGCTAATTGAATTTAGTGCTGAAGGGTCAGCCAAACACAAACAGCCAGATATCACAATGAACGGGTAGACTAGTGGGAAGATAAATAGATTCACAGATGGACAGATTTATAGACATACAGGCAAAAAGACAGGGAGCATATACATACATTATATATGTACAAATATTTTATTTATACATACGTACGTACGTACACATCTCTATTTATAGATAGGTTCAAAGTACTTACTAGACATCTTCCAAGATCGCTCGGACTATGACCCAAGGCAGCACGAACAACATCGGGGAACCTGGAAAATCGAAAAGAATACTGATCTGGAGCCAGGAAAGAGATCAAGAACGAGATGGACAGAGAGAGATAGATGGAAAGAGAGAGAAAGAGAAAGAGAGAGAGAGAGAGAGAGAGAGAGAGAGAGAGAGAGAGAGAGAGAGAGAGAGAGACAGAGAGGGGAGATGGAAAGAGAAAGGGAGGGAGACACAGAGAGAGAGCACAGAGAGAGAAGAGGGGTATAGAGAGAGAGATAGATAGATATACAAATAGATAGAGAGAGAGGGAGAGAGAGAGAGAGAGAGAGAGAGAGAGAGAGAGAGAGAGAGTGAGCTGAGAAAGAAAATAAGAAGAAGAAGAAGAGAGAAGACGTACACAGAAGAAGGGAAAACATACGGATTATGTCGGTGAAACAGAGCCTGGAGGCCAGGAAGGATTGACATTATCATGACGTTGAGAAAACAAAAACAACATGGCAAATTAAATTTGCTGGGTAGAAGTTTGATTATATGGGAGAGATGCTCGAACTACGGACAAAAGCTCCAGCCGAGAAACTGAACATGACACCATTTCCACAATTCTGTGTATGTAAATGAAATGAAAACTATAATCAAACAAAGAGACAAACGAATTATATGGTTAGTAAAATGGATCAAATTTCCCACCCAGCAGATCGAGCAGCCCTTGTGGACAAACTGAAGAGGAAAAGGAAAGAACTAACAAAAGGTGCCGAGAAGATGGAATGGGGTGGAATGAGATGCTTAGATCTTGGAATCCACCCTGGACTCTGCTGGAGTATCATTTTCATTGATATGTGTTGAATGCAAATATGAACACGGTGTTCATTGTATTTGGATCAAGGTATTTGGTAGTGATGTTCTCGCATATCCCCAAAAAGTAATAATCTAAGAGAGAGAGAGAGAGAGAGAGAGAGAGAGAGAGAGAGAGAGAGACAGACAGACAGACAGACAGACAGACAGACAGACAGACAGACAGACAGACAGACAGACAGACAAAGACAGACAGACAAATATAGACATATATATATATATATATATATATATATATATATATATATATATATATATATATATATAGAGAGAGAGAGAGAGAGAGAGAGAGATAAAGATAGAATAGATATATATCTATGTATTGTTGTCTATAATATGTGTATCAAATTTCTATTTTATTTCAGCCCAAAATCATAGAAAATTGCTGTGAGTATCGGTGAAAATATATTTCAGCTTATCAAACTAGCAAGAATTTTAGATGTTTTATAAGTAAGTTTTGGTTGGGACAGGCATGCAAGAAGTTAAAACCCAGAACATCCCTGTCCCACTTCTAAATTAAAGAAAATTGTTTTTAACACCTCTTACAATCACATAAATTGTTCTGAAATAGGAGCATCAGATATTTACGCACTCACAGCTTCAAAGAGATTGGAAGGATGAATTTTGAGAAATCATAATTTTTGTAACCTCACTCCCTAAAAACCTAATTGTTGAGTAAAATCGATAAAAGCGCTAACATTTGTGGTGTTTTTAGGAGTTAAGTTGGTGCAAACGCCGGAAGGCCTAGTGTGTGTATCGTCGTAACTTTAGAGCCAGTGTTTAAAAAAATTAAAGACTTTTAGTCTGTTCATACTTATTTCAACTCCTTTTCTACTAATTATGCGGGTTAGAGACCTAGTTCAATCTGTCTGGTACATATTTTTCCGTCTAGACTTGAAAATATTTGTGAAAAATCGACATTATAGCACTAACTCGACCACTCGCTCGGGAATAGAATACCGTGTCTTCCCTTACACTTACAGTTCTCACGCGAGGACGTGTATTTAAAAAATGGAATATATATATATTTTTTGAAGAAAAGGAGATGCCTTTGCATAAGGTGTTAGGTTACCTTTAAAATGGTTAACAATTTCATAAAAACAGTTTAACGAAAGCCTGCTCCTTGCGAAGATAAACGTAGTGTGTTGGCAAAACCTTATTTTGTTTGTGTATGTAATGAACGCAAAAGTAAGGGGGATAAACTTACAAATACCTAAGCCAAGCTTCCCATGAAAGGTCCCTTTTAATTACACAAGTCACGTCGGAACAGGGGCCTGTTGGGATTAAGTTCCCCGAGTGTATCTTTACTGCGTTAGTCTCGACAACGTTATTTTTTCCTTTCCGTTCACACAGCAAAGCAAAAGAAAATGAAGGGCAGGAATCAGCCTGAAAGATTCTAAATGTATACTGTATACCAAAGCACTTTTTAACGATTATTTTCAGTGTAGTCTTGTCAGTTGATAGGGAATACAGCACTTTAATTGACATCTCCAGTGGAAAATTGCGAGACACAGCCTTCCGGCACTAGTGGTTTGATCAGTAGACTGGGGCATGGATTGAAATACATACTTTTTTTCAGTTCCACAAGAAAGCTGATAAACGTTTTAATCTGTTTTTTCGTGGCCCATTAAAAACCACCGATAGTTTGACCAAAATATTTTCAGAATGAATACGAAAGTGAAATGGACGTAATCCTTGTAAATCCAGAAATGGCAAAATGCCATTCTTTTTCTTAACCCCTGACCATCATTGTCTTGAGTCTAAGAAGTAGTGTCTCTTCAAAGCTAGCGATCAGAATTTAAAAATTAGTCATGCTAAAGAAATTCTTTTGACTGGGCAGTTCTAACAATCCGTTCACTAACAACCCGCTCACTAAAGAGGGTGCTAAATGTTCCATTCATACATCAGACCTCCACACAAGTTCAATAACAAGACCAGACGGGATCTGCAGGAATGTTAAGACCACTTGTGTAAACTGAGGGTCCTGATATCGGACTGTTAATTTTTAACGCCTCTAACGGCGGTAGAATACAGCTGAGCTTGAGCTCTGTAGAGTTGAACAAAAGCGTCGGAATCCACTTATCTACCCGTTATGATATTTATTGGAGGACATCATACAAGAAGAGTAGACTCACCCCAGCCACAAAGGATGTACCACTTGATGGTACTTCTCTCCGAGAACACTGCCACGGAGATGAGAATGTGCAGGTACAGGGCCTCGGCGGAGATCCACATGTAGTTGGCGCCCAGGATGTAGTGGAAACATGTGAAGAACAGCTTGCATTCCCAATGCTTGGGTGGGAATTTTTTTTTTGTTGGGAGAGAAAAGGGGGGGAGTAAAATGTTTATTGGAAATTTATTTTTTATTACGAAGGTGATTCTTACGTCACCACCCTCACAATTTAGACAATCTAGGAGGCGGAGGTTAACGCGGGCTGAAAGAAATACAACATCTCAGCAGAAAGACCGATTACCCGATACAAATTCGCCCCACTTTGGAACCGATCCCGGGTCTTCTGCGTGCGACAGTGAAACGCCTTACCGCTAGACAACAGACACCGGTGCAAATCTACAATTGATTCTGTTTCTCATATCTTTCAGAAAAAAGAGGGAGGGGGGAGTGTCTCTCTTAATTGCTTTCACAGGAGAAAAAAGGAGAGGGTTGGGGGAAGACGTGAGCGTCAGCTGAGGGTTTTCTTCGTTAGTGTCGCGTTTACTTTCTTCTGCCCCCGTCCCCACCCACTTTTCCCATTCCATCCCTTTATCTCTCTCTTTCTCTCTTCTCTCTCTCTCTCTCTCTCTCTTTCTCTGGGCCCGGATGTGTGTGTGTGTGTATGTGTGTGTGTATGTGTGTGTGTTGGTGTGTGTGATTGAGTATGTATGTGTGTGTTTGTGATACATATACACTACATGTCGCACCATCCACACTGTGCATTCTAACAAACCTGAGCATCAGTACCCCAGCGCCAGCAGGGATGGTATATGCAGCGAATACCGAATGAAATGGGACACTTATAAGTCTTCCCTCTTTCCCTCACATATTATTTCTCCACAAATTCCCTGGAATCCAACTGTGATCGAATCCTCCCCCCCCCTCATTTATCAGAGGGCAGAGCATTCCTTAACCTAAATTTGTGAGGGGTCAGGGCCCTTTGTCCCCACATCATCTTTTCCCAAACGTGGGTTCAATGACAATAGGGCGATTTCCTGGCAGGAATCAGGCCGTAGTACCAAGTAATAATTATTGTCATTTTCCTTCCTCGGAGTTTGAGGGCCTAACGCTGAAGAGAGAATTCAACGTTAACGAAAATTCGTGAAAAAAAGCCCCAGGCCAAGATAGAAGAAGTTTTGCGGTTAAAAGAAAAAGCAAACTGTATTGAACTCTTGTCTTTGTGCTCGTTAAAATAATATGAGCGAACCAGCCAGTAGGTCTTATCGTGCAATGTCCACCCCACCCTCCCCGGATCTCCTATCATAAAACCCAGATCCTTGAACAGCGAACATTCCTAATAATACCGATCTGGACATTTTCATTTATGGCACCTACGGACATAGAACCAACTTTTGCCGAGAAAAATAAAGAAAACACAATTTTGCTAAGTTATCCTCACCTCCAAACATTCCCCGTTCTTTCTAGCCCTCCAAAGATACTAACAATTTTGATAATAACGTCTTAGACAAATGAATGTGTCATAAAGATATCTTACAGTGCTTCCATTTTTGAAGATGAACGGCCCATCTTCGCTCGGCCTGGTGACGTCAGAGGGGAAACCCAGACCTTGGACCAAAAGATTCTCTTTCATAAATGAGAACGAGGCTCGGAGGATGAATGAGAAGAAGAGATTCAGATGAATGGTGTTTCTAGGGCAGTGTAGTTTCCTGTGGAGATAGGAAAAGGCAATCCATAACAATAATGTCCACCCTGGAGCAAATGAGATCACAACTGGAATGCAAAGTTTCTCGCTTGCTGGCTGTCAGTCTGAAATGAATAATTGGTGTTGAGATAAACTTTTTTCATCTGAGCTTTCTATTCAACCCACTTAATGCCATGTGTGTTAATGGAAATATCCTGAAAATATGAATGGTGTAAGAAAAATAGAAGAAAATGTACTAAATGTATACTTGAAGTCAGTGTCGAGATCAGTTCAAATTATGACAAATTCCGTTAGAATTGTCCGCTTTCGTTCATCCTGTCGGTAAAGCATTGGCGCCATTATCATCCAAGTTACTGAAAAGAGAGGCCCTCAATAACATCGCAGATCAGCTTGCTGTAGAACAATGGACAGTTGTAGTCTCGGCATAATTATTTAGATCTTCGAGGGACAGAAAATGGAGCTGTGACAGAGATACACGTATGCGCCGTCACTTGGCACCAATTTAACACGACCTTTTAACAGTGATAAGTAATGATAATCACATTCTTCGCTGGTACCAGGAAGTTTGTGATAAAAAAAAGAGAAAAGGTGGTTAGGATGTATTCAGAATGCTTCATTGTTAACTTGTTTTGAACCATTGCATCCGCGTCATATATTCTAGAAGCACTCGTCTCTCAATACTGTTTTCTGATATAGACGTCTGCTAAATAAAAAGAAAATGATTATTCTTGCAACAGTTTCTAGCAGTATTTAGATTCCAGAACAACAAATGTCCATCTATCTGCCGTGTATACATGCCAGAAGAAAGAAGTGGCAAACGAATAGAGATAGAGATTGGAAAACATCATTCTTTTGGAAGATGTGAAGAGTTTCTAAAATGTCGACATCCTGATAGCTGCAGGATCCCACGAGGCGGCTTAATATTTTAAAAAAAAAGAAACCAACATTAACAAGCATCAAACCAATACAAGAACCAACTAAGTAAAAACGAAAACAAAAACAAAACAAACCAAAAGCAAAACTAAACTAAACAAAACAAAACACCCCCCCCAAAAAAAACAACAACATAAAAACCAACAAAACGAAAAGAAAACCCAAACAAAACAAATGGAAAAAATGGGGTTACAAAAATGGTGGGGCTTTATCTTTTTGTTGTTGTTCCCGAGATTAATTTCTGAAGTCCATGTTACTGTTATTCTCTCCATCCACTAATTTGCAAAACTAGATGTAGTGGTAGTAGTGGTTTATTACTGTCCTCCCTATCCGTGTACCGATATCTTGTTACCGGCATCGTTTTTCTGACAGCCAAAGGTACGACTTTCCAAAGTTCTGTCTTTCCGTTCCTGCGCACTTTTTCTATTAAAATCTTATCTGACTTGATTTATCATTTCTCCATTTCTTCATTCCATTCTGCCTTCCTTACATTTCTCTTTCATTCTTTCATTCTTTCTTCTTTCTTTTTATAATTGTACTGTTTTCTTTTTGTTTCACTCCCCCCTTTTCGTCTAAATGTCTTTCCTTCATTTAGAATTTCTCTTTGTTTATAACACCGATGAAGTGTAACACTATTGCGGTGACTGAAGGACAAAGTCGATTGCAGAGAATCTTGCGTCGGTCTCTGATCGATGGGATTGAGCACTCAGATCAGGGGGAGGAAGAACAACCCGTCTTTCCACGACTGACTTCGTTAGACGTTGGCGCCAAGACCAAAGATAAGGTTGTGACACTGCGGAAGCTCGTTCTAACTCTCAATCTCTCCCCTAAGCCCCCCC